TGGTCCAAGGAATCACTCTACGACGCGTGTGTGGCCTACACGAACTCCATGGGCTCTTTCAAGGAGCGCTACGCGTTCTCTGGTGGCAGTTTGCGCGAGTTCCTCGGGTGGACCGAGGACCAACCGAAGGAAGCCGCGCTGCACATGAGTGACGTGGCGATTTTGGCGTTTGAGACGGGCAACGACGCTGCACCCAACATCGGCATTGACTCGATACGGCGCGCGTACATTGACGACATTGACAAGTACGCGCACTACCTCGACCGAAGCTTTTGTCGGCGCATCGTCGATGCCCGGGTCGCCCAACGTTACTTGATGAAGAAGACGCGACTGGGCTTTTTTGTCGACATGCTTCGGTGGGTCGAGATGACCAAGTATGGGTCGCTGTACGGTTGGCTCTACGAAGCCACCATCCACAAGCTTGCATTTGACTGCAAGCTTGTGCTGAGGCTCCAGTGCTACGATGTGTCGAAGAAGCGCGACCCAAAGAAGCCTCTCAAGCACAACGACACGCGCTTCCTTGAGGTCTCCTCACACTGCGAGGTCGTGTCGGTCGGCTCCAACACTGAAAGTTGCATCGAGTTTCTCGAGACGTCATTGACGGACAACATGTACTGGACTCCCGATTTTGCGCTGTTCCCCGGCTTCGACGCCGTGCTTGTGCGCAACAAGATCGTGTTTTACCTGCAAGTGACAGTCCGGCCAACGCACCCAATCAACTGGGGCACGTTCATGAAGTCCCACGACGTCGTGAAACGCAACCCCAACCTCGTCGGCTTCCAGTACGTCTTTGCGTTTGTGACGCCTCCGCCTCCGAAAGTCGTGTGGGAGTGCAAAATCACGAGCGACATCAACGGGCTTAGTGTGTGTTTCGCGTACGCCCTGCGCACCGGAGGCATGGGCATCTCGGCGTCGTTTGCTGCAGTCCCTCCAGAATATGTCGCGGAACAGGAACTCAATCATTAGATTTTCTCATTGCCTTTTCCTTTTCGAAATTAAATTACCGGGGCTGTTGGCGAAATACACAGTGAGTTCAAGCCATCAGTAGGCAAATTTCGTGCTTTGGAGC